AACCATCTGTAATGAGGTCTGGTGCCCTCTTCTGGCCTTCAGGCATACACGCAGAAAGAATATTGTATACATAATAAATAAATAAATTAAAAAAAATATTTTTAAAAAGCATAAACTATAAAATAGGTGGCATGAATTTTTAATATTGGGGCAGAAAAATGCTTCCTAAGCATAAAAAGAAATATACTTGGCAAAGTAAAATGTACAATTTAAATGTTAATCAAGCACATATAACACTAAAAGTCAATCGTCAAACTAGAAAAAAAAAAGTAAACTGTGTAACCCTGGTTGAACTGGAACTGTCTACATAGACCAGGTTGGGCCTGGAAATAAGAGATTTGCCTTCCTGTTTTCCAAATGCTGAGATTAGAAGCATGTACAACATGCCCAGCTGGACAAACATTCTAGGGAATTGTTAATAAACTACATCAACAATAAACTGAAGGAAGCATTGTACTGATTGCTATTTGGGTTTTCTTTTCTTTTTTTTTTTTTTTTTGAAATGAAAGGGGGCAACAATTTTACATGAAGTAGTAGTAAAAAATAGTTAATACAATTATAATACTGAAAATCACAAAAGCTTTTGACCAGGCATTTAAATTTTTATTTTCCTTAAACCTGTGAAAAAAGGTTTGTAGAACACAGAGACTTTTGTACAGTTTTAGAAAAGTAAGTTCTTGGTGGCCAAAGCGACTATCCTATTTAACTCCTTCATAGTTGGAAATACCTTCCCTTAAATCACCCAGGTTTCTCTATGTGACACAGTGGCTGTATTTGCTGATACAATTTTAGAAAATGTCATTACTATACACAGAAAATTAATCGTGTGAAATAAATTCAATAGTGTTCTGAACTTAAGAAAGAAAAAACTGATGTTAACTCTAGTTGGTTGGCATGTACAATTTCTAACCACATTTTTCCAATGGAAGAATAAATTCAGAATAATCAATATTTACAAAGTTAATGAGCAACTGAAAAGATATATAGATGCATACAACAAAGATTTTTATTTCAATTATCCACAAAACAATATCACAACATTTTATAAAAATATTAAGTCTTAGGTTATCATTATTTATTTTTAAAAAAGTGTGCTAGAAGGCTGTTTTTGCCAACTTTTCTTTTTTGGTAAGGGTTAAAGTTCCAAGTTTAGACAATAAAGATGAAAGCTGTTGGGAAAAAAAATCTTCAAATGTACAAAACTGTTTCTTTTCTTGACAATTTAAAAATACGTAACAATTTAAACTGAATACACATTAAGTTAATGTTGTATTCTTACAAGTGTTATTATAAGAACTGCCTCATTCAATTCATTTAAAATCTAAAGAATGCCATCAACTTTTCCTGCCTTATTTTTCTGACCAGAATTAGTACATAAACATCTTTACCCTTTGAAGACTGCTTAGAAAAACTACAATACCACAGATCACATGAAGCCCTTTAAAACACTCATGACACAAACTGCAGACATCAGGGCAAATAAGGACGACACTCTTCTCAGGAGATCCTCTGAATAGGTTAATTGGGAAAAAAAAAATAGAACTTTTAGTCAACTTGCATAAAGTTCACTTGTCACATTTAAAAAGTTAAATTTGAACATAATTTACCATGGCACAGAACTTTAAATTTAGTGATTAAAATGATAGAAATTTAAAATTATATGCTGAAAATAGAAGAACTTGATACAATGCTTTAAAGTGTAACTATAAAACAAAGCATTTAAAAAAACATTAATATTCAACTTTTAATTTATTTACCAGACTCAGTTTTTTCCTTGCTAGACCTTTAAACCATTAGCACTACTCAATTCAAATTAATACTTCATAATTTGAGTTAGAAAAACTCATTTTTAAAGTTTTACTTCTGTACTTTAAACTGGCAAAAATCCCCTCTTTAAATTACTATTACTCAGGATATGTATTCTTCCTCAAATTGATTATATTATGAAAGGAAACTATAATCATCAAGTATATTTGAAATGTAAGTGAAGTTTCAGAAATTTGAAAATTTGAGTTCTAAAAAGGTTCTGTATAAAATAGGGTCACTGAAATTAGTGTTAAGCCTTATCTTCACTATTTTGAGGCTGTAAAACTTATTTAGTATATATGTTAAGAAAAATTAGTTTTACAGTCATACTTGATAACTTTTAAGTCTCAGAAACAGCTAATGAGGAGCTCTGAGTGCCAGCAAAGCCATGATGTCACTCCACAACACCAACATTAAACACTCCATCCCACCCCAGTATCTGTAAAATTTTCACATTTTCTTCTCTCATACTTATTTAAATACATTTTCCTCTCTCCTATTCTATACTTACAAAGTGCATTCAAGTCCCTGATCTAGTGATGTTTTTTATGTGTGGAGTCAATCACCATAAAAGCACACTTAACAACGCTTCACAGTGCTCCATCTATTTTTTTAAAATGGACTGCTTAAATGCTGGGCTTTTATTTTTATGCTATGTAAATAGTAAGAATTTTCTCTGGAACTGGATATAATTTCAATTGTACATTGCCTTAAGACAATCAATACAACCTTGCAAATGACAAGCTCACATTCTGGGTACTTTCATTATGAACAATTCAAAATGACGAAAGTAAAAAAGCTGTCTCTACTTTCCAGTTCTATGAACTAAGTGTGAACATAGGGTATTATGCTTCCAAATTCCATTGCTGTGGTCTAACATTAAATCAAGTGTTTGATCTTGTTTATAATCTCCTTTTTGCTTTTGGAAGACTTGGCCCATTCCACACAAAAGGAGGTCTGTGTTAAGACTGCATGGCAACTGTCAAATAGAAAAACAAAACGAAACAAAAACCTAACTTTTGAAAAAAAAAATGCGAGAGATTTTTTTAAAAAAACTGGAATGGAATTATTTGGTCCCATAGAATTCTTTGATTTTAAATTTTAATATGGTGTAAGAGCTCAAATTTTGTCCACATCAATAAATAGTTTTCTCCTAGTTTTGGGAAGGAAGGAAAGTGACTAGTAAACAGTAGTCTTGTTGCTCTTTCTTACCATGCTATCCCAACATAGTCACATTATCTTAGCTTGACGCTCTTTGGACCATGAAGTAAGTTATAAGATATATCATTGGTACTTTAGTGTTTAACACTTGGGGGGAAAACTGTTTTGTGCAACCATTATCTGGAATTCCAGTTTACCATAGAAACATGCAGAGTGAAAGGTATCTTCTTATTCCCGTGCGTGACAAACTCCCAAAGGTCTTTATGTTTTGGAAGATCTGCACACACAGGTTACTTGGATTATAAATTTTCTCCTGGTTGGTATTGTGGCTCTGTAGCAGTGAAGTAATCTTCCAAGAAGGACTGAATATATTCAAATGTGGGTCTCTCATCAGGGTCCTTCTTCCAACAAAGATTCATCAAGTCATGGAGGGATTCTGGACAGCCCTGAGGGCAAGGCATCCTGTACCCTCGCTCCACTTGTTCCAGTACTTCACGGTTTACCATACCTAATGTTAAGATTCAAACGTTAAAAATAAAGGTCCTAGCCACAAATAGCAAAACAGATTAAATGTCCTAGCCAATAACTAAAGACATACTAAGTTTATCTAGTGAAAAGACATTTTCAACAGAGAATAGAATAAAATTTAAATATCAATTTATACAAAGAAAAGCCGAGAAATGATTATATGGATAATCATTTATATGTGTGTGTGTGTGTGTGTGTGTGTGTGTGTATATTTATATTTTTCCCCCGAGATAGGGTTTCTCTGTAACTCTGTAACTGGAACTAGCTCTTGTTGACCAGATTGGCAGAGATCCGCCTGTCTCTGTCTCCTGAGTACTGGGATTAAAGGAGTGTGCTACCACTGCCCAGAGATAATTTATATTTTAATATATGACCAATTATTCATTCCACTTAAACTTTTACTTGTAACACAGTATCTTCAAGTGCCAACTAAATTTGACTGAGAATTTAGGGTGATTGGTATTTTCTATTACCATTTAATAACCCCAACTTTAATAAGGAATTGAAACTAAATTAGGAGAGAATTCTAGCTTTATTTTTGTGTATACTAACCACATAACTATTTCACTACTCTGAGTTTCCTTATCTATTATCACATATTTGGATTTGTCTTATTACACAATTCAATTTCTTCTATTCTTTTTTAAGTTCCTTCCCATGTGCACTGTCCCAAGCTAACAAGTGGACTCTTCCTAAATTTCTCTTCTAGACAATGACTCACTGTGATGGTATAATCATCTAGGAGAAAATGTCTGAGCATGGCTGTCAAGGATTATCTAGATTAAGATAGCCTCTAGAAATACCTAAGAAGGATTATCTAGGGTAGGTTATTTGAGGTGGGAAGACCCACTTAACTGTCAGTAGTACCATTCTATGAGCTGGGGTCTTGGACTGAATATAAAGAAGAAAGCTGAACACTGGCATTCATCTCTCTTTGCTTCTTGACTAGACACAATGTTACACTTCTACAGTTATGACTCATTTCTATGATAGGATAGTACCTTCAACTGTGAGCTAAAATAAGCCCTCCCTCCCTCCCTCCTTAACTCAGGTGTTTTATTCTAGCTACATATAAAACAACTAATACATTTGTCAAGCCAGCAAAACCTTGACTCTTTCCCACATCCCATTATCACCTTCACTGCCAGCCTTACCCTTACCAGCAGTGAGATTGTTCACTGACTATGACTGCTTAAAAACAATGGAATATGATAAAAAAAAAAAAACCTATGGAATACGATAAAAAATCTATTTCCATTTTTATTTATGACCTTCTAAAGAATAACTGATTCCTCAAAATACTTAAGTCTTAAAAATTGAAAGAGAATGTTTTCATCAAAGAACATATCACTTTTTAGTGAAATCCAATATATTTTCTGCTACAGAAATAAAGCCAGAAGTTGTTAGACACATGCAAAAATGACTATTTAACATTCAATGAAACCATACTGTAACTGTGAAAGACCCCAGCTTAGCTGCTGTAATGCCATTTTGCAAGGCTTTCACACAAACGAGTATAAGTTCAAGGTAAAGTCGGTACTCCTAGGCTGCCAAACAGGATATCTATGGTCAGACATCAGGCCTAGGAGGGGAACTAAAAGTTCTGGGAAAACTACATGTGCCCTAGATAGAGCCAAGTCAGCTATTAACATATCTTCATGTCCCCGAGGAGCTTGTCCCCAAGTGAACCTATCGCCTCATCCGAACTGACCAATGGAATCCCTGTAACCATGCATGCTTCTGCGGCCCGTTTCCATATAAAAGACCCCCTGTCCAGCCTGAGGGTGTGCAAGTCTTCCAAAGAGACTCTGACGCCCACAAGTACCTGTGTACTCTCAATAAATAACCTCTTGCAGTTTGCAGCCAGTGGTCTCGGATTGTTCCTTGGGTTCAGGGGTCTCCTCCTGAGGGAAGGTCCTCTCTGAGGGTCTTTCAACTGGAAACCTTTTGCTATTGATCACATATGCCTACAGCTTTTGTAGTTAAGAGACTAACATTAATTAGTCTAAATAAGCCTAAACTTACAATACCAACTTTAAGTACCAATCACTTCTCCTTTTGGGGGGTGGGGGTACTGGAGATTGAACCCAGGGCCTTATACTTTTACAAGATTTGTTGTGTGTAAGTGTGTGTGTGTGTGTGTGTGTGTGTGTGTGTGTGTGTGTGTGTGTGTGTATGGGAGAAGAGGGGAAGAGGAAAGGATGGGGAGAAGAAGAGAGGCAAAGAACAAGAACTTGCAGAGTATATAAGGGGCATTGGCACTCTTGGAGCTGAACTTATAGGCAGTGGGAGCTGGATATGAGCTCCAGTTCTCTGTCAGAGTAGTGCACTCTTAACCACTGTTAAGCTCTCCCTCCAGTCTCTGAACCCAGGGTCTTATGTATACTAAACACATGCTCTACTACTGAATTATACTTCAGTCCTCATTCCTAATAAATTTCATTCAAGATTTGACCCTTTAGAATTTTTTGATAATCAGAACTATTCAGTTTTATGGTAACAAATTTAAAAGTAAAGCATGGCAGAAATGACCTCCCCTCAATCTTCAGAAAAATAATCACTTCCTCAGAAGCACTTCTAAGATTCTGAGTAAGACATTAACTCTGGAGTATGGCAGGAAGTCATTTCTTTCATGCCTGCTCTTCAATAAGAAGATGAAAGACTGTAACACTTCATACTTAAAACAGATAGTAATAATGGCTTTGCACTCTGTCAATGAAGTATTTCATTATTGCTTATATTTGTTGGCGTTATTTTGGTAAAATAATAGTAGTTGGTTGATGCTATATGTTAATCCTCTTCAGTAATCAAAGATGGACAATATATAATCTTTAACTGTTTTGAAGCTTGGGAATCTGGGGGCTCAAATGGTAGCTCAGTGGGAGAGTGCTGGCTTAGCGCATACCTGGCCCTAGGTCCAATCCCTAGTACTTCCTCTGCCAAAAGAAAAAAAATCTACAAACTGTTTATATCCTGCTTATTTGAATGTTTACTTATGCATTGTATATTTACAGACATGTAGTTAGTTAAACATTTGGACTTTTATGTTTCCCTGTTCAACTGACCCTTTCTTTTATCAATATTCATTGAACTTTGTCTCATTTTTGTAGTATTTCTTGCCTTGAAGCTCACAGCTGTACAGGTTTTCTTTTGGCTGATATTTTGCATAGTACATCTCCTTCCAATCTCTAAATTTTAATCTTTTTTTACAGCTTATATATTTAAGGTGAATCTCTTAAAAATAGTACTTACTATAGGAGCTGGAATGATAGCTCAATGGTTAAGAGCACTACAAAGTCATGAGGACCATCCATAATTGGGATTCCAGCATTCATGTAATAAACTGGGTAGCCAAAGCGTACTTGTACCACCTCCAAGGGCAGGGATGAGGGGTGAGGCAGAAACAGAAGGATTTCTGGGGTCTGCTCATTTCTAGCTTAGCCAAAAGGAAAAAAATAATATGAGCCTTAGGTCCAATGAAAGACTTTGCCTCAAAAGAAATATGAGGAGTAATCAAAGTGTATTAGAGGTATGTGTTTATGCATATTTTTAAAATCTGGTTTTTATCTTTTAACTGAAATATTCAGTACATTTACACACAATGTAATTATGGGTAAAGGTTTAACTATTCCTGTTCCTTCTCTCCACCCTCTCTCCTCCTCTTTTTCTGAGATCTGGTTTCTCTGTGTAGCCCTGGCTATCCTAGTACTCACTGTGTAGACCAGGCTGGCCTCAAACTCAAGAGAACCACCTGTCTCCGCCTCCTGAGTGCTGGGGTTAAAGTATCTACTACTGCTAGGTTTATCATCCCATTTACTTGCTATTTTCCCCATCTATTCTTTTGTCCTCTTTTTATTTTGATTTAAAAAATCACTTCATCATTACATTCTACTGGATTTTGTTTTTTTGTGCTAGGGATCAAACCCATGGCTAAGTGCATGTTAAGTGAGCATTCTACACTGCACAGTCTTCTACTGAGCCACATTCTACTGCAATTGCAATATGCTTTTCCGGGGCTTTTACTTTACTTGAAAGGAGTATTTTTATAATCTGTAAGTATTAACAGAAGGTCAGAACTATCTCCTACTACTATTTTACACCCTGTGACCTTTGTGTTACTATCATGAAATTTATTTTTTCCTCTTTACTCTTTTTTTTTTAATTTAAAGCATACAGGTGGTTTTGCTTGCATATATGCCCATGTACCACATGCATGTAATATGCACAAAATCCAGAGTAGGATGCTGCTTCCCCTGGAACTAGTTATGGGAGGTTGTCAGTCACCATGTGGGTGTTGGGAATGGAATGCAGGTCCTCTTGAAGGGTACTGAGTGGTCACTCCAGCCCCATTGAATTTATTTTTAGATGTGGTAAGACAATACTGGTGTTTTCTAAAAATTTTTTCCAAAGTACTTTAAAAGCATAATTTTTGCCAGGGTGGCTTAACAGGTAAAGGTGCTTTGCTACCAAATCTGGTGACTTGAGTTTGAGCACCAGAATCTATACTGTAGACAGAGCTAACTCTTACAGGTTGTCCTCTGATCTTTCCACAGATGTGCGTGCATGTGCGCGCATGCACGTGCGCACACACACACACACATACACACACACACAAATAAAGGAGGGAGGGAGGAAAGGGAAGGAAGACTAACGATATTTCACCTGTTTCCAGCTTCTGTATGCAGTGAGGAAAAGGCAAGTATATACCAACTCCCTGTGGCTATTTGGCTTTGATTTTTATAGTGTGGTAATGCTAGAAATGCTATACCTGATTGAAGTACACCGAATTTCCTTTATCCTGCTTCAAGTTTAGAGTTAACAAAAACTATTTTTAAAGAAAAGCTATTTTCTGGCTAGTCCTTTCCTAGTAATACTTATTACTGTTCCACTCTCCCATTTCCTAGGACTCCAGGTACAGAGAAACTAGACCTTTCCACTGTGTTCCACTTAGTTCATACTGTCTATCCCCACACATCCCTA